TATTTTAGAATTAGAATAAGAAGTTTGTGTTAAGAGTTAGGAGAGGAAAGAGTGATAATCCACTTCAGAGTTGTTCTTTGTTCTTGAGTCTTGACCACCTTTTTTTTAATTGATCTCTTTAAAATTATTATTTTAATTTGCAGATCATTGTTTCTCTCTCTTTCGTCAACCAAAGAAACCGACGGATTAAGAGAGAGAGAGAGAGAGAGAGAGAGAGAGAGGCAGAGCAGGTAGAGAGAAACAGAGAAAAGAAGAGAACAGAAGCAAACGATAGCACATAGACTGGTCAGAAACAAGTGTTTTTCAAGGAAGAAGAAATTTAGGAGATATACAAATAACAGAAAGGGAAAAAAAAAACTTGTGATTCAGGTAAGAGTTTTTAGTTCTATTTTCTAAGAGAAAGGAATTGAGAGTCTTTAATAGTATGTGAAAAATGTGTTTTTGTCATTTGGGTGTTTTGTATTTTGTTAGATTTCATTTTCATTTTCTGTCAAATATACTTGAAAGATTGCACTCAAGTATGAGAGAAAGAATATGAGGAAGTTTATGTTATGAGCCATGGTGGATCAACAAAGTGCAGTAGCTGTTATTTTTATATTGTTGCTATTATTTGAGTCTACATTTGAGCCACTTGAGACCGTGAGTTGACCCAATGAGCAAGCTGCTCTACTTGAACTCAGATCCTCACTAGGGCTAAGAACTACAGATTGGCCAATAAAATCTGACTCTTGCCTAGTCTGGATTCTCTGGAATGATATAATAAACTAATTAAGGGTGGGAAAGTATCATTTTGAAACTTGACGGGTGAGAAAGTGTCGTTTCGTCAAACCTTGGGTGGGAAAAATACTTTTCCCTATTAGTTTTATGGAATGTTTAACTAGTTTTATCATATTTAACCACTGTCAGGTGAGGCGATATGAATTCTTAGATGTATTATTCTAGAGGTCTTAAATTCGATTCTCTCGGTTATTAATAAGAGTGACAATTGGAGAGTTTACCTGATCATTAATTTCAAGGTCTTGAAGGATTCAAGTTGGCCTAGACACACCCAAAAAAAAAAAAAAAAAAAATTTTTACCAATTTTATATAGAATATGAAAAACATTCCTTCTAGGTCTAAGAACAACAGCTTTCAACATAGAATAATGCCAACTTATATAATAAATAAAAATAAAAATATTATTATTCAAACCTAGAGATTCACATTCACACAGCTCATCACACCATTTAAAAATATCAAAACAATGACCCTCTTGGAACCCACATTCGCAATAGCAATCCCATGTAGCTTGATCATATAATTAGCCACGTGGCATGTCTACCGGCTGATGTGGACCAATAATTTCTTAATACTATCTCTAGTCCCAATTCCGTAATACTCCAAACCTCATTCAAACCCTTACCTTAATAATAGTAAATATTAATAATAATCATAATAAACAAGACTAAGATGAATATAAATCTAATTAAAACTTGACAACTTTGCATAAAGCCCCCCACCAGCTTTGCTAAAACTGCCACCTATTCTTCACTCTTCAATCTTCTCAACTGGAACTTCTGTGGTTGCTGCTTCCTTGGGTGCTTCAACTGGCTTCTCCTCCTTCTCAGCTGGCTTCTCTTCCTCCACCGGAGCTGCAGGCTTTTCTTCCACCACGGCTTTAGCGGTCTCTTCTTTAGTCTCCTCAACAACAGGCTCCTCAGGTTTCACTTCTTGAGTCTCTTCTGCTTTCTCTTCCACTGCTGGCTCAGCCTCAACCTTAGCTTCTTCTACAACTTCCTTGGTTTTAACCTCAACTGGAGCAGCTTCAGGCTTTGTAACAGTGGATTCCTCGGCAACTGGGGCCTCAGGAGTTGCTTCCACTGGTTTTTCAGCTACTTTTTCCGAGGCTGGTGGTGCTGCCACTGGCTCTTCTGGGGTTTTCTCAATAGTCTTGGTCACCTCAGGTGTCTCATTCTCGGGCAATGTTGTAGCAGCTTGTTGAACCTGCAAGATCCAAAACATTTTAACGTATGAAAATAATCAAAACCCTCATATATATGACACTTACAGCAAGATTATCAGCCAAATCGCATTAGATTATACATATATATAAGCAATAAAAGACTGAAGATTCAAGAAGAGCATACACAAGAATTACTGAAATCTAGGTAGCTTGGAAGATGGATTGATCGATCACTGTTGCTGGCTAGATCGCCTTTAGTTCAATTTTTTAATCAGTTTCCTATTTTCTTTTAATATATAAGATCATTTTTACCAAGTTAAACATTAGAAAAACTTATCAGGATCACCATGCATGCCCATGACATAATCTTGATGATCAGATATGTCACAAATACAAAAAAGAGAACTGATCTATCATATTAGAGATAGATCTGGATGAGTTTCTAAAAATATTACAGAAGACCAAACAAACCATTGAAAAGGATCGATCAAAGTACAACTTAATAAAAAAACTTGAACTATATATTGAAGAACCGATCCTGATAACATTAAGTTGACACAAAACAGACTCTATATACAAAAGAATTTCGCTGCTCCATAATCAGCTACAGATATAACGTATTATATATATAGATATATACCTCAACGCTGGCCATTTGGAAAGCAAAGAAAAGGGTATAATTAACAGAAAGAAATATAGAGGAAAAAGCAAAGGGAAGGGCGCTAGGGCTTCTGTGAGTGTGTAGTGAGGAGAAGATGATGAACAAGAGAGGTATATATAGAGGTGTAAAAGAATGGTGATGAAGCACTTGAAGAATCTGTCAGTGACACATAGGCAATTGCCCTTTGTCTAGTTGTAAATGTAACTTTTTTGTCAATTAAATTATTATTATTATATAATAATATTATTATTTGATTTACATTATCATTAAATATTATTAGTGCTTTTTTAATCAATGGAAATTTTAATTTAATTTATATTATATGGTTGTGCCCATTTCCCATATCACCATCATATCTTTCTTTTGAGTTGTTATTATCATGCGTTCATGTTCTTCAATTTCGATTTGATTTCCCATTTTGCCTTTAATTTCTCATAATTTAAATAAATGAACAATTAATTTTTTTTTTTTTTTGTAATTTGTAACTCTTACAAGTAATTATAAATATAATGTCATGTATTAATTCACTTTAATTAAACCCTTTTGAGCGTTTCTATAGTCAAAGAAAGTAATTACATATATTCAATTTCTTGCTCTAATTAATTGTGTATTTGAAAACCGCTATTCATTCAATTTGAACCCTCTTCGGTTTCAAAAGGCCAATAAATAAAAAATTAACCCGTCTATCGGTAGCCCAACGATTAGGGTGAACCAAGGAGGTTGAAGACTTGAAGTCCCAAGTTTGATTCCCTATTTGACGTAAAAGTAATACATTTACCTATGATTTATCTAGAGGGCCACGGTGGCAGTGGATTATTGTGGGATAGCTTCCTCTAAGGAATAATCGAGATGCACATCAATTATCTCGGACATCTAGGTTTAATTCTTCTTTGGACGCAAAGAGAGTATCATTGCCCAAAAATTAGAAATTTATTTATTTTATTTAATAATAAAATAAAAGCCCAAAAATTATATGAAAGGGGTTACTTTTACTATTGTGGTCAAAATCATATGTTTGGTATTTTTAAGGTTTTTTTGACCTTTCACTTTTGGTTTTTTTTTTAATTTCAAAATAATATATTAATTAATTAACAACTAATGGAGGTGATTATCAGCCAAACAAAAGGTAACAACAGTACTAGGCCGGTGGCGAAATGGGACCCATGCCTCACCAGTTTCGATCATTACCACAAAAATACACTGATCAGGCCCCACTCTATTTTGAAAATTGCGAACGTGGCACGACTTTCCACCCTTGATTTAGTCCAAATCAATCAGGCAGCCTCTCTATGCTTTGAAAACCGCACCTTTCTAAAAGATTCACCTTTTGTAGGTCCCACCTCAGGTGCTTTCCAGGTAGGACTCTCGTGACACCGGACCCACTTCCAGCCGTCTGATTTGCCACGCTTGATCTTAGTCGTCTCTCTGATCATATCCTCACTCACTACCAGCCCAGCCCACCGAAAAAGAAAAAATCTCAAAACGCATGTACAAAATTACCCTTAAGGCAATTCCATACTCATGCAAAATAACAATGGCATCTTTGTCATTTTACTTACTAGGATTAGAGATCCGAGGATGATGTTGGCATTATGGTAGCAGGATTAATATTATAATACATAGGTTAACTTGAAATTTTGGACTTAAATGATGATTTATAGATTTATGTGTCTTCATGTACTAATCTTGTCATTTTTAAGAAGAAAAAAATAATTTTTTTTTAATAATCAAACGTCGGATCAGTTTATACGTATCTAAAAAAAAAAAATTAGTATAACAACTCATCATTACAATCTTCACTTAAATCTCGGATACTCAGAAGTAAAAATGAAACCATACGCTTATCCATATTATCCTCACTTTACTATAATTGTACGCCTATTTATACTATTTTCAATTCTATTTTTATTAAAAAAAATCTTAAATTATATAAAAAATTAGAATCACCAATGAACAATTTAAAAAAAAAAATTCTTGAAAATATCAAAAACTCTTCATAAATAAAAAAAAAAAGCTGATTTTTTAAGGGACGATGAAATTTTTTTCCCGAGTAAATTGTTTTATATTTGCTATTCAAACCGGTGCGAATATATCCGATGTATATTATATTTTGTGGGATTGAAGAGAATCAAATTTATAGTTTTTTTTAGATTAAAGTATTAAGTATGCACTAATCATGATTAGGTGTTAAGATAATTTATACTTAAAATTGAACAATTAATCCTAGAATTGGCCATGCGTGTCCATCAAAAACTTTACCGTACCTTAATACTGTCTGTAAAGTTAAAAGGTAGGGGAAAGACTGGACGGTGAGATGGGCCCAATATTTGATTGGTCTAGCTGAGCTGTGCATTCCTCAAATGGATTGTCGATTTGATACGCTAACACATGGAACGTGGAATGCCCTAAAACAGGGACAAGGACATGTCCTTATAATAGTTTTAACACTTATTATTTTTTAGGTTTAGGGCACATTGCTACTGATGGAGATGGCTTACAGTTTATAACTTTCTCTTTATTAGGAAAAGTTGATAAAGGTCGGGCCTGCCTGGCCCGTCAACTGCATCCAGTGATGAGGAGGTGGAATGTTTTGTTGATTTATGGTCTTATTCATGGGACAGGCTCATTGTAATTACTCTTTCAAGGGGGCAATTGTGTTGGTAACATTATTTATTTTTTCGACTGTTGCGGTCGTCTTGATCCTGTTGTAGCTTATGTGCTGGACAACGTCATGCGATCATCGGTGTTGTCAAGGAATACATCTCATTTAGTCTCAATAACCATTATTGGGTGATCGAGTGATCAATTAGGATTCTTAGGTGTATTATTGAAAAGGTCATGAATTTAATTCACCTTAACTACTAATAAGGGTAGTCATTGAAGCTCTTATCTGGCCGATAGTTTTAGGATCCTGAACAATGTTTTAAAACCCAACCCAGGGTTGGGTCCTAGGTTGACCCGTTGACAACAACAACTAAAATTCAGCAAATACATCTCTAAAAATTATGGTTAAGTCTCTATAGGTTTGAAATTTGACAAACACACCCCAAATACAAATCGGTCGGTGACGGCAACACCCCAAATGCAACCCTAATCGTCCCTTGAGCCCATTCCCCTTTAAATATACCCAAGATCTAGCCAAAATAGGTTCGATTTCTGCCAAATCTCACCGATGTCGGTGTCGGCATTCTAGGCCAGATCTCATCGACGTCGGCGTTGGCATTCCAGGCCAGATCTCATTGATACTGGCGCTGACAATCCTCCCCATCACCCAGAAATTACTTCCCTCTTCCTCCCGACCAAAACCCACCTCACCCCACCCCCGTTAGCCTCGCCAATAGTTGGCAAAAGTCGATCGATTTTCGATCAATTTACTCATCGAAAATCAACTCCGTCACCACCATTGCATTCACCGGCACTTTCTCTTCAAAAGCCCAACATCCCAGCCACCAATTGTTTGCCGATCATCCTCCCAAATCCTAGGGTTTTGGGTGAATAGAAAAAGTATAAACCTGACCCGTTGAAGCTTTTGATCCCAGTTGAACCAGTTAAATCGGTCGAGCCAAGCCGAGTTTTAAAACATTGATCCTGAGAGATTAGTTGAGGTGCGCACAAGTTAACCTGAATATCCCCAATCATACAAAAAATAAAAAACATTATTTATTTTCATTCAAAATTAAAGCAAGGAAAACGTGACAATAAACAGGTTTTGGTAGAATTCATCCTCAAAAGTTAGCTCAAGAGAGTAGAAAGTACTATAACATATATACACAATAACAATTTACTAAATAGACGTGACAAATAAAATTTCTAATGATATAAAATATTATGCTACTTAGACAGCTAAAGAAAAGAGAGAAAATTAATGAGATTGAAATGAGAGGGTAGGGTTTTAAATAGCATTAAGCACAAGACAAAGAAGTCATAATCAAATGTTTGGTCTGGTCTGCTATGAATTATATGGAAAATTTTAAGCTTTTATGGCGGCAATTTTGCTTTTGTTGTATAAGTACTGCGACCACTCGGCAAATCACTTTCTTTCTTGTATGATTTTTCTTTCTTTTGGTAGGCAAGGCAGCTTACTTTTTCTTTTTTCTGCTTGAATTTAGCAATCAATTTCAATTCTAAAACACTGCTCATGGAGTGGGGTCTCGCTCTCATCAATCAATGTTTGATATATTCCAACTAAAGCTATGATTCAATCAATCTTATCATCTTTTGAATCTTTCATAAGAATTTACCTTTAAGAAAAGAAAAAATATGAACTTCATTTTATGATTCTGATACAATATCTAATCGAGAAAGTCAATACTAGTGGATTCGACCTTTCGAATTCATTAATCATTCACTCATTCTGGATTCAACATCTCGTCCAGGAAGTCCTTACTATTGAATTTGAACAAAATAGAATCTTCGATAGCCCTTTCATCATCGTCCGATGATCTTAAAAAACATCATGTATCATAGAATTTTTCTCTTAAAGTATATCAGAAACTTACTGCAGAGGAATCTGGAAAAATAAAAAGATGTACGATTTCACAAAACATGATGATACAACTAGCAATCTGGAAAATTTCTTCAGTGATATTAATTAAACTTGAAAGTAAGTTTAGAATTACAACAATGGTTTCTTTCAGTAACTATAACCATCAGGTCTTGCCTGACTCCACAGCTACTGCTATAGATCCATTGATAATGGATTAAAATTCATTTGAGGACCACTCAGGACTGTTCATCCAACAAGATTTCTCAAAACTGTTTCAGCACGCTGCTCAAATTTCGGTAGAGCCCATTCATGCTGAAGGATGTCAAGACCGTCTTTCTCAGCACCCAAGCTCTGACAAGGGAGTTCTTGACGATGGTGGAGAGGTTTTTTCTTTATCTGTTCATATAAATTTTACTTTGTGAAGAAGTTGCCATAATATACATTCTTGCATATATAATAACTTTAGGAGTCATGTATGTAGTCTGTCAAGCAGTGTGCTACAAGTTACTATTTGGGTTTTTTTTCTTTTTCTTTTGTACAGGTGGATTTAGATTTGGGTAACTATGAACGATTCCTGGATGTTACTCTCACGAGAGATAACAACATCACCACTGGAAAGATATATCAGGTGCTTGAATTTATAAATATAAATGTGAATATATGAAGTCCATTCAATTGTTTGTGTTACTAAAAATAATCAATCTCCTTCACTTTTAAACAGTCTGTCCTTGAGAAGGAACGGAGAGGTAATTATCTTGGAAAGACAGTTCAGGTAATGCTTCTTATACTGAAAAATGTTTGTTAGATCTTAATTGTGTAAAGAAAACACTGGTGACTTAGATTTCTGCCACTCTTGGGTGGATCCCAGGTGGTTCCTCACATCACAGACGCCATTAAGAATTGGATTGAGTCCGTTGCTGCTATTCCTGTGGACGGTAAAGAGGGCCCAGCAGATGTTTGTGTGATTGAGTTGGGAGGAACTGTTGGTAAGAGCTTCCTGATACAATAGAGACTTATGGTGCACAAAGAATTGGTGATTTCTTTTTTTGATTGACACTTGTTTTGCGTTAGGGGACATTGAATCAATGCCATTCATTGAGGCTTTGCGACAACTATCATTTTCAGTTGGTAAGTTGCACTTATTATGCTATGTCATTGTATTATTTGATTTATATGGACAATTAATTATGTCCTCGGCATTTTTAAGAAGGTTAATGAAGAACCTTGTTAATGTATGTGTTATTTGCATTATGGTATATTTGAATTTGATTGAACAGTTTAATAATTGGGTTTCTGTTATATGTGCATGATTCTATGCTGTGTAGATCAATCTGTGCAATTTTTAAGATATATCTATGCATTGTTTTCCTGTTACCTAATATAATGGAAACTGAGCCATTGTTTCTTTGATGTGGTGTGCTTGTCATATTCACTGTGGTGTAATTCCCTACATATTTTGTGGTATTTCCTTAATTCAACTTTCTATTGCCTCCTCAGGTCAAGATAACTTTTGTCTCATTCATGTGAGCCTGATACCTGTGCTGGGTGTTGTTGGCGAGCAAGTAATACTCCATATTTTTCTATAAACCTTTACCAAAATATGCAATATTTTATTTGTTCTACATATTGTGGCCTGCTGTTAAAGACCAAGGTTGATAATATTACTTGAAATTCATTGTATATATATTTTTTTCTCTTTTATTTGGCTGATTATTCTCTCATTCTTGCTTCATTCTCTTTATTATTCTTGCTTACTCTCTTTTTTTTCCTTTATCCTAGAAAACTAAGCCTACACAGCACAGTGTTCGGGAATTGAGAGCATTAGGGTTGACACCTCATCTGTTGGCATGTCGCTCTGCCCAGGTTCATCTTTCTCCTTATCTGTTGCCTACATGCATGTGGGAGGGAAAGGGGTGGCAAAATTTTGGTTTTGGAATCTTTTATATTGATACCAACCATTTTCTAGATTGTGGTTTAGATGCAGCAATTTATTGTGCTGCCCAAGTTATAGGTTGGAATAAAGCTATTAATATGATTTAAATTTTATGTGTTCTATTCAAATGGTCTCAATGGTGAACACGATGGTTAAAACTTTCAATTTTCTTTAATTGGCAATCATATTGCAGCCTCTGTTGGCAAATACAAAGGAGAAACTTTCTCAATTCTGCCATGTCCCGGTAAATTGTTGTGAAGTTTGTTTCTTTTATCCTTCGATCAGAACCTGTTTAATTGATTTTTCATCTTATATATCTTGTCATGGTTTCTCTCAGATTGCTAATATTCTCAACATTCATGACGTTCCAAACATTTGGCACATTCCTCTCTTACTTCGGGTGCATTTACTAACTTTTCTATGGTTCCTCCTAAACTCAAATTTTTCTTGTTTATTTTATCATCATCCTGTTAATATTTTTTGACATGAATATTTGTTTCAGAGCCAAAATGCTCATCATTCAATTCTACAACAGCTAAATTTGCTGAGGTTAGTGTTTGTTTCAACTTTTTTCTGCATAATAAGGCTTCAAGTTTCAGATCAGAGCCCTTACCGACCTCAGAAGTTTGCAGAGAAATGAATCTAAGGGAAGCAATTTATATGATGCTGTCTAACAATGTACCTATCTGTTTTTGTCCCTGTTCAAATACGACCATGGGTTGTTGCATTGATTATATCCATGATTTGTTACCATGTTTAGATTGACACCAGTTGAACTTAACTAACCCTTTAAAGAGCAAGACATCGCTGTCTCTAGAACTCGATACTTAAGGCGCATGGTTGATTTGTTAACTTACAGACTGCAATTATCTGTTTCAGCATTGCTGCACCTTCAGATTTACAAGCTTGGACAAAGATGGCCGAGACTTATGATAATATCACGAATTCTGTTAGTAATACTTTACTTAATTATTTTTTTCCTGAGGACAACCTTATCCATATATCAGTATATTTATGGTTAGCTTGTAATCCTCTTGTTGAATATTCTTCTTTTATACTTGAGATAAAAACATGCTGTTATGACAGGTGAGGATTGCTATGGTTGGGAAGTATGTTGGCCTTACTGACTCGTATCTGTCCGTTGTGAAGGTGTGCTTTCTATTTTTGCTTTTCTTTTTCTACTTTGAACCAGGAGGTAGGAAAATCAAGGTATAGTCCTGTTAATATTTTAAAATAAACTACTGCTAGTGATCTTTCATCTAACTGATCAAACCTACTAATTATATGATTGCTTATGAACACAATATGTTGATGCACAGAAGAACTTATGTCCATCAAAATAAGCCTGATGCATAGAAGAACTGCCCATTTTAAGTGTTAATCTACCCTTGTAAGATTAAATGTAAATATAAGATTTGAGTAGAGTACTTTTACTATGTGTTCTCAACCTAATAGCTTAAGCTTTTGTGTTGGTTAATACTTGTTATTTGCTGATTTTTTTGGAAGAAATAAATGATACTTTATCTGATGCAACGCTAAATCATGATAGTTTAGCTCATTTCACAATTAGATGTTTGTTACTGGATGAGTACCTGCCTTTTCTTTATGGAAAAAATAAAATAAAAAAATTTACCTGGTTTGGTTGCTTAGTTTATAATTTCTACATTGCCAACTTCTGTTATGGTTATGCTTATTAGTGCAGGCCCTTTTGCATGCCTGCATCGCATGTTCCCTGAAGCCATCAATCGACTGGATTGCAGCTTCTGATCTTGAAGATGATAGTGCGAACTTGGTACTGAACTGTCCTAGTTGCATTCTAATGCTTTTTACGCCCTTTAAGGGTGTAGACTTTATGCACTGCTGGCTTATCACATTCATGTTGGTCTTTTTTCCCATATATTTTTGAGAAAAAAAATTGCCTTGTTTAATTGTTTTGTCTGCATTTGCAGACACCAGAAGCTCATGCGGCTGCATGGGAGACTTTGAGGGTAACTCAATTTATTTATTTGCTTATTTTATTCATCATTGCTACCATCAGATTATATATTTTTGGACCAATCAGATGATTCTTTGCATCAAAATCCCAAAATCGTGCCATATTTGGTTTTGTTGATCACTTTTGTAGAAAGCTTTATGCATACACAGACATTCAGATTTTCAAGCTTTGCTAGTTTTTTTTCCTTTTTATAATTCCTTTTTCAGACAGAGAATCTCCCTAATATAATTTTATTTGTGTAATGGTCTTAGAATAGATTTTGAAGCGTGGTAAAATTTCATTGCAGAATGCAGAATGTGTCTTAGTTCCTGGTGGATTTGGAGATCGTGGTGTGAAAGGAATGATATTGGCTGCAAAGTATGCTAGAGAGAATAATGTACCCTATCTTGGGATTTGCTTGGGCATGCAGATTTCTGTAATTGAGTTTGCTAGATCCGTGGGTGGTTTGTTTTTCATTTCAGTGTTCACTTTCAGATCATATTGTAGCCATTCTCTGATTGCCTCTAGTTAATTGTTTTTAGGTTCTGGGTTTAGAAAGGGCAAACAGTTCAGAGTTTGATACCGAGAGTCCGGATAATGTTGTAATTTTCATGCCTGAGGTTTGAATTCTATTGCCTGCCTTGTTTTACTATTTGTTGTGATAAATTACACATAAACACAAACTATATCATCTATCATTTCACATCCATATGCAGGGTTCAAGAACACATATGGGAAGCACAATGAGACTAGGTTCTCGAAAAACAATATTCCAGACCCATGATTGCCTTTCTTCGAAATTGTATGTGATTTATCTACTTTTCAATTTCAGGAGTACATGAAGTTTGTCTGTTAATGCAATATAGAACTTTTACAATTCATTTTGCTCCATATTTATGTATTACTCTACATCAATGCATGGTAGAGCCGTAATTGGACGTTAGGGTGACTATTCTTTTATACCAATGTGGTGGTTCTTAGGCCACAAGGTAGTCTTCTTGTCCAGTTTCTGCTGCCTATCAGCCAGCAACTTGCTATCCAAAGAGGATACTATGATGTGTTCCCATGTACTGCTATGCATCCCCATTAAACTTTCTCTTGCTTGCTAGGTATTGTAATCCCAAGTATGTGGATGAACGGCATCGCCACAGATATGAGGTCAGTTTTAAAATTCATTCTTATGGAGGCAAAATATTTGGCGTGCATAATTTCTAGTGTACATGACGATCCTTTGGTCCTGTATGCTGCAGGTGAACCCTGAGGTAATTGGGGCTCTTGAAGAAGCTGGGCTAAAATTTGTAGGGAAGGATGAAACTGGAAAACGAATGGAGGTGGGCTTGGGCATATCTTGTTCGTGGTCGTTTTGCTAGATTGAGAAGTTAGTTTGCACTTACCCAAATCATTCAATTTTGAAGTTCTGTTCTTCTGTTCTTTTCTGCAGATTTTGGAGCTTCCAGGTCATCCATATTATGTAGGATCTCAGTTCCATCCAGAGTTCAAATCGCGACCCGGGAGGCCCTCTCCTATGTTTTTAGGTACTTTTTATTCTACGCATGAGCCTTCTTCATACTATTTTACATCCTCTCCTAGAACCCACATATATTCCATGGTGTACAGAATGTCATCACAATGTCTTCAAGTTATATCTTATATTTCATTTGTAGATAAGAGAGGGGACAAGGGAGACCGTGAAGGTTATCTCCCTTGTGTGGTTGGAAGCATTTTTTTCTTCTGATTCGACCGCTAATCTTTCCCTTTAAAAATATGAGATATTGTGAAAGAATAATTTAGAGCGAAAATAGTGTAATAATATGTCTTTAAAATTTGGGACCAATTTTCCACTTCTCTTCCTTTCAATCAAAAGATTATTGAGAATCACCAATTTTGTTATTGATAGCATTCAAAGAGAACATGGGTGATAGTTGAAGAAGACGTGATGACCTGTGCCTTTAGATATGGTTCTATTTAGAGCAGTGTAAATATCTACATTTCAGTTAACAATATGTCGTTGCAATTGCAGGTTTAATATTGGCGGCAACAAAGCAGTTGGAAGCATATCTTAATACACATCAGAATGGAAGTTAATCTAGAAGTTTTTACCATCTAGATGTTCTACATCATTCTTACAATTACTAGATAGGTTAGTTCTGAAGGGACAAACTGAGGAATTCTTAGATACAAAGTAGCACACCTGCATATATGTGTGATGCACTTTCTGGCTTCTTTTAAACAGAATTAAAAGTTTGGTTTAATTTAGTTAGCAGTGGTCAGGTTCAGTTTATATTATGTATGTGAAAGGGGTTTGTCTCAGACATCGTTCAGTTTTAACTCTAATATTATGCTTAAGCATTTGGTTTCAAACATCTTAAGACTTTCAACTCTGATAATATGATTAAGCATCTATGGAAGTAGTTATCTGTGGCTTTAATAATTCATAAATCTAGTCTTCTATGGTGTTCTTGCACATAATTTAGCATGGCTGCAACTAAGGCTTGAAAGTCTCAATGCCATGCATAGTTCTTTTATTAGAACGGTGTACGGGTGAAAGAAACACATGCTCAATCGTGTCATCTGTATTCAAAATGTAATCTCTGTTGATAAGCTCAATGAGATGAATCTTTTATGGTGGATTAATGTGCATGGAAGTTGATCCTTCTGTGCAATAGCATTTAGAAGCAAACTTTATGGCACTTCTTGCTCTTTCAGCACAAAGCTGATTCTTTTTTTTTTTTTTTTTTAATGTGCAGGTTGTGATCAAATTTATTGAGTTCTTTTTCCCTTCCCTTCATTTGGACATGCAAGCCACCTCCCAGGATGAAGCATCGGAGTGTGTTTAAGAAAATTTTGTTGTACTTTAGGCTGAATTAGTATTGTCCCCATATATATAAATTTGGCATAGCGTGTGTGATGTTCAAGCCTTCTGAACACTGATACTAAGGATTGGACGATTTGCTAATTGCAAATTCACTAACTATGCAATTGTCACCATAAATCTTGTTTTTCTCCCTTTACCAAGCATTAGAAATTTGAAAGTATTCCATAATATGGTTTGGTTTGATAATGCATTGCAGACTGAAATTGTGGTTGATTAACAATTAAAGAGTCAAAGGGAATGAAATATTCACTTGTTCAAAAATATATCATATATGTATTGTGATACAGATGAAACCATATGGTTTATTTGTAAAATAGTAAACACTTAATAAAAGCTTATAGTATCTACAAAATGCCGCATTAATTACCTCTAACACATAAATGAACAAATTTAAGCAAATTACTAGAAACAGATGAACTCAACTCAAGTTGTGCTTCTATTTAGGTTCTCATTGTACTCCAAATATGAAATCTGTCTTTGCATTTTGATTTGTTGATAAAACTTAGCTATGAACTCCTCCGCTCTCAAATCAATTCCTTGTTCCTCCAATGGAATTTTCTCTTCACTAGTTTCCTCTTCTTCTTCTTCTTCTTCTTCTTCTTCGTTTTTCAAGTAACTCCTCCCATAATCGTAACCATAACCATAACCTCCATCTCTATCATCATGATAATGATCATCAGCATCAAAATCATAATCAAAATCAACTGGCGGGGCTATGCAAGGAATAAGAAATCTCATGGAAGCTGGACGATGCATCTTCACATTGAAAATAGGTGTCTTGTCAAAGGAAAGCTCCCGCTCTCCATAATAGATTTTATCCCGTGGAGTGTTGTGTCCTAAACTTTTGATGAACTTTGGCAACACACGAAGTTCCATCATCAAACGTCTTTTAAACACCCCTCCTTTTCTTGCCCATAACAATGCTAGACGTAATAAGTTCCACGCTTTACGATTAACATGACTGTTTTTCTTCGGCATTTTCTTGGCTTTATTGCTACTTGCCAGTTGCCACTGGAGAGTTGCAATAAATACTGCTGTGGAGAAGAAAGAACAAAACTTAAAAGTTGGTGTTTGAAAGATATAAGCGCAGTTGGTGTTTAGATTTGAGATGATGATAAAGATGGAGAGAGTGAAGCTATTTATACAAGTAGAATTTGATACGCGGAGAGAGAGAAATATTAGATCAGTTGGTGAGCAAGCAAATGTGAACTGCGGGGAAGCAACCTCGTGGCTTACACGGGTAGGGTCTATACCTGTACGCGGCAACAATCATGTTCGACCTTTTCTTGTTTCCAAATCTACCCCTGCCTTATTATATTGATTGGCCGTTGCCCAGTAGAAAATATTTATGCAACTAACATAATATTATTTTTGCGGCTATATACGAGAAGTATATTTTAATTTCACATTTTAGATCTGCAGTATCCTATATTGTAATTATTAATGAAATTGCTTATCTTTTTATTATATTGATTTAAATCTAAGAATAAATTATTTATAGAATATAGAGATGAGCAAACAAATTAGCCGTTCTGGAAGCCTAATGTCATTGTGGTAATATGATAAATGTGTTTAAACTAAGAAAGTAGGGCCCCAGCTACATAAAGACAGGAGACTTTTGTTTGGGGTTTTGTTGGGATTTAGTTTGTGAATTAATTAAAGAAATTCCTGAGAACATGTTGAAGAGTGAAAGACTTTGCACAAGTAAACGTTTGCTTTATTAGTTGTGAAAAACCAAAAAGAATCCTAAGCTCTTTCTTACAGTTGTGTTGTGTGAATGATTAATGTTTGAATATCTACCAAACCGTGTCTTAAAAGCTGTACTAATCATTGATTTATATATTTCATCTTATTTTCAATTCTAATTAATTAAAATGATAATATACTCCCCCTATTAACAAGTATAAAATTAAATATATTTGATTGGGTATGGAAGCTTAACATGAATGCATGAACTAAGTTGGGTACCAGTATCACTTAGATCCATGGGTTTTAATTTGTTTTAAAGTTGGATTAGTATTAAATGAATCTGGTTCAACCCAACTTAGCTTTATGGCCGCAGGTACATTAGCTTGTAAGAAAAAAAAAATGGTAATGGCTTGGAAATTAATTCAACCAAATTAAAATTAACCATGTTCATAGAAAGAAATTGAAATCAGACAGGTTGGATGATACATTTTAAGAGAAATGTATAGTTGGAAATTTGCAATTTCTTGCTAAACGTAAACGGCTCGTTTTTTTCAAATTTCTCCTGTAATGTGCAATCGTGCTTTCAAAGCTACTTGGCTATATCCATAAAAAGGGGATCTCAATTGACAATCACCCCAGATGGTGAACACTGTTAAAGGGCCCTACAATAGCTAATTTTCACCAAATTGAAGTTTGCAGCCACAAGTGTTACATATTGTGGGGTCACCAAAATCATGCCAGAAATTCTTCGATTCGGAGAAAATTCCTAATATTTAATATTTGTTTGTATATGGACAGTTCTGTTTACGTTTACGTATAAATATATCAAACACAAGAAATCAAGCAAAAGCCAAAAAGGTGTCGACTGAAGCTACCAGCTGCCACCTTATAGCATAGTTTTCAAAGTTCAATATTATTATAACTACTTGTGAAATTACGGAGATTCGGAGAACTAGGGTGAGTATCCGGTTTTTGACTTCTTGGGAGAGATATATTTTCACAAATTAAAAAATAATAATAATAATAGCCTTATTTAAGTGGATTCAGTCATGTGACTAGATTAATATAGATAATATTTCCCTTAAATTCAACATATAAAATTCTTATATAAGGCACAGAATAGAAAACAATAATGCTACGGACCAGTGACGGACCCAGGATTTTTGTCTAAGGGGGGCCCCGTCGCTCCGCCACTGTTTGCCAATCAACTAGTGAAAACATAAGAAAATAACATTCAATTCACAAGAAAACACAAGAAAATTTTTATGTGGAAAAACTTCTTCAATGTGAAAAGATAAAAAAAACCACGAGAATCTAACGATCCACTTAAATCCAATATAATCAAAAGAGTTTACAACAACCACAAATCTACCAAAAATATTCTACACAAATTTAGAGCGCAATCACAACTCTAACAAAAGTAAAATACACAAAGGTTTATAAAGAGATGGATTACAATCACTCTAAATCCAGATCCAGATGTTAACATCCTAACTCAACCGTCTAGATTAAAGATCCACACATCTTCTGCGTATTGACCCAAAAATCAAGTTAGAATGGTATACCTAAAGATCTAAATAATATGAATATTGATTATATAAAAATGAAAGCAAGTTAGAATAGTATACCTGAAGATCTTCAATTTAACATGATTTTTCGCTTCATTATGTTATGAAAATGTTCAATGATATCTTCATTTTGAAATGTAGCAAAAACTTCATTTTCAATGTAAACTACTAAGCAATTGTTCATCCACTCATCTCCCATTTGATTACGCAAAGTATTCTTAACAAGATTCATTGTAGAGAACACCCTTTCAACTGTTGCAGTAGCCACGGGCAAAACCAGTGCTAATTTAATAAGCAAAAAAACTTTGTCGTAAGCAACATCCTTCTTAAACTCAACCATTTTTTTTGCAAGATCGGCAATCCCATCAACATGAGTGAAATTGGCGTTGGTGCTAACATCCTCATAATAGTTTTCAAGTTGATTATCGAGCCACCAAATATCATGCTGAGGAAAATCGGCAGGATAGAACTTTGCAAACTCAAGTAATTTGTCTTTGTTAAATGCAGCAAAAGAGTTACTTGGATCAAGAGATGCCATACACTGAAGCAGCCTCATATTTACTTCATCAAAACGATTATTGAGTTCTTCTTGAATGTTATCTAAAATTGTGTACATCAATTCCACCTTAAAATGATGTTTATTCGTAATTGGTGCAATCCCTCATTTTATCCTCCCAAAATTATCTTCCGTGTTCTCCGAGATTGGTATGTCATTATCTTTACACAGATCATAAGCTTCTTTCAACAATATGTCAAAGCAAGTGTCTTCATTTCTCAATTTATGTAATCGACGCTTCGAAATTTGTACAAACTGCATGGCATTAAGAAGATCTTGATCTTTTCTTTGTAATGCTTGTGACAGTTCATATGTGATTCCCAATACTTTCTTCATCAAGAATAACAAAAGGACGAATTCAATATTCTCCATGATTCGTAATAAACTCCTTGCTTGACTTTTGTTTTGCCAATCATCTCCTTCAATCTCAATTACTCTGAGCACACCAACAATAGAAGAAAATAAGTTTATGACACTATGAATTGTCCCTATGTGTGAACCCCAACTTGTATCTCCTGGTCGTTTAATAGTGCATTCTTGATTCAACCTGTGTCCCATCAGAATGTCACCGTTAGAAATCAAAGATATCACATATTCATACTGTTTATCACGTAGAAGATCTCTGTGCTTGCAAGATGCTGCTACAGTGTTTGATAACATAGAAAGAGTTTGAAAAAATTCACCCAATGCTGAATGTTTACTTACAACTTTGACTAGCGCCA